GAGACAAAAAAGACCTTTAAAACCCTCAGCCTTCTCCTCATCCTATGCCACTTTTCCCCTTGCACCCAATAAAGGAGGGAGATTGTCCCTTAGTGTTGCTTTGTACCAGCTCATATCACCTGCTTGGGTCTTGGTTTTCTCCTAAGTGGCAAACCAACTTTAATGGTGAGAGATCTAAAATATTACTGGGAGAAGACTTGTGGTAAATGCTCCTACTCTCACCTCTTGCTTTCTTCTCTGTGTGAAATTCCAGAATTCCATATTTTTGCTCCCGCTGTCTTCTCATAGTCTTGCAAACTGTGGAATTTACTGGTCTGAAGCTGGTCCTTTTGCACAAGTTCTGGCTCTACAAACATTTATGTGCTTTTCAAAAGCCCTGTTTGTCAGGGCTTTGTCCTGTGTGGTACAGCCCAATTAAACAGTTGGGAAACTTGTCCTGCCTATGGAAACAAGCTCTGGTTATCCTCTGTGTGAGACTTGTCTGCTGTAAATGCCTGTTGACTGGCAAGATTTGCATTGGCTTCTGATTTTATTGTCATTAAGGAAGCTTTCAGGTGAAAGACTTAAGAAAATCATCAAGGCTGAACTTGGAGTAAAACAAACACATAAATGCCACCTAAAAATAATATATGCCAGAGTTACACTACAAAGACTTTGAGAATAAATTTGATGGAAACCCAGGTGCCTTTGCTAGGAGCCTTGTAGCTGAAATACACTGGTAATAATTCCTTTTATGTTTCAGAAGTGTACTGTAATGAGTAAGGATCTTTTTCTTTTCATCTGATCTATTGTACTCCACCAGTTATATTTGTATTACAATACTTGATGAATATTCATATGTAGCTCTTCATAAAGTTCTCTTAAAATGGATACTAAAAGGCCGAGATTGTTTGAGAGGTGGCAATTACTGGCTGCAACAAAACTGTTCTCTGCTGAACACTTGCAACAAACAAATCACTGCCAGAAATGCTGCTGTTGGAAAGGGTGTTAAATAGTGAGTGTAAATCACAAAGCTATTATGGTGCTTTATATAAAATAGTTCACTAATGGATCACAAACTGTGGCAGTTAGACTTAAAACAAGCAGATCCCTGAGTTTAGACAAATATTAGGGTGTTTTATTGCATGAGGCTTTGAAGATCACTATATTCCTTAATTACTGAGCTATTAAACAGTTACTAGTGAGCCTGTGAACTGTCTCCACTGAGTGACTGCTCCCATGCTTTGGAGTGGATGTTGGACTATGCTGTTAAATCAGGCACATCTTTTGGGTCCAGCTCTTGGGGATTTGGTGCAGCAGTGCCAGCTGAATGTATTTTAGGAGTGCTCCAGAGCTGTTCTGGCACAGCCAGCCAGGATGGCTTAGAGGGGCCTTTGGAGCAGAGTTTCAAAATGCAACCTTTGATCTGCATCTGCTCCCCTTCTATGTGCTGTGGTGGGTTAAACTGGTAGCCACAGAAGAACATGAAGTTATCTCTTGCTCACTGATGTGAGGAGGGGCAGATGGAGGTGTAGAGATACTATACAGCTTCCTTTTGAGGTCCTGGCAGCATTCCATGTGCACTTTGCTTGGTTGCCTCTCTTTGTTCCATGTGGGCTGTAGCTGTGGCAGAACAATTGGTGTTTAAATTACAGATGGAGGGGGAAGGGGAGTGTCCTTTGCAGGCATCTTACTGATACTTATCTATTTGCAAAGTTGCTCACCTGCAAGAGGAAACAAACTTCTGAGTCCAGTGTGTGAGCCAGGTAAAGCAAGCAGAGCTGATCAAGAGGGAACAGGAATTCCGAGGGAAATGATCACTAGTGCAATGTAGCAATTCCTTGGGCACATTCCTGTGTGTGCCATGGCACAGACACAGCAGCCCTGCTTACCACTGTGGCAAAGCTGGTTAGCCCTGGAGAGCCTTCCCAGGTGAAACACTGCAGTGTAACAAATCCACAGAGAGCAGAATGGTCCCTCTGCATGTAGAAAGCCCATTTCTGAAAGTCTGACTTTGGGACAGGCCAAAGGGTGCCTATTGCAGACAACGAAACACCCAAGATCAGGAAGTTAGAAGGAAAACATGTCCAAGGACATTAGGGCAGCAAATCCATTAGTCAGACAGTATCTTCTGTAGATACAGTTCCCTGTGATAATGTCATTATTTTTCATGCACAGCTGATCTTGCATCATTTGGTATTAAGGGACACACATAATAACCCTTTAAATATTTAATAGCATTTTCATTTACTGAAACCTGTGGGTGCTATTATATATTATACATAAAGCAACCTCTCCTTTTTCATTTTCTACCTACAAAGATGTGTTGCACACGTTTCCCTCTCTCAAATTTATAAGAGACAGGAGGTTTCTTTCGAAGTAGCTGGAGACATAAAATACCTGGCAGCAAAATGGCTTTTAACTCATTTTTATAGCACTGCAAGGCAGCATCTTCCTAATAGCCTTCTCTCAGACCATAGAAATGCTGCCATTAGGAGGAAGGCTGTGGCTCTATCCCTTAGGAAGGAGGTTTTCTTTCACAGAGGTTAAGACTCTTCATTAGGCTTCACAACTTTATATATCCAAGCAAAAATAGAAGCCCTGTCTGTTTTTGAAGCTTTGAGTTTTTGGTTTCTTTGTGCTTTTTTTTTTTTATTGAAGTTATGCAGAAAAGCCTCTTAAAGCTGAACTGTTGGAAGCAGCACAGGCCAAATTCAAAGAGCTGTTACATGGAGTATGTGCTACCCAAGTAGGAATCTTCCCCCTTCTGCCAAAATGTCAACTGCCTCCAAATACTTCCCCCAGTTATCCTAACAGGCATCCTCTCACTCACTTTAACTTGGTTGGTGAAGCAAGAAAACCTTTCCTTGGGAATACAGCAAAAACTTTTTGCAGATGTAACAGCTGTGCATTGCAATGATTAAAATACAACCTCCTGGTAGCTTCAGGCAGAGATATGGAAGACAAAGCTACTTTAAGTACGAAAAGGCAAGGCCAGTTCATGTCTCCTGTCACTCATATTACAGAAGGCAACGAATCCCAGCACCTCCCCACTATTCCTAGAGCATGGCCAGGAATACATCCCCATTTTTGCACCAGCTCTTGAGGATTGAGAGGTGCAGGCCACAGGTAAGGTGGAGCTGTGGCAAAGGGTTAAGTTCCTCCCTCGGAGCAGGAGGGAGGAAATGAAGAATGGATGGCTTTTGTTTCATTTGGGAAGTGGTGGGCAGTGGTTTCCTAACCCAACAGCCCCATAAACTGCTCTCAGCAGGGATTTATCTGCTGGCCTTGCTGCAGTCCAGCAGGCTGCTTCTTTTAATGGCAGAAATGGCTTTTAAGAGGTTGGCAAAAGGAGCTCTAATTGGGCTTGAGGATTTAAACATTGCAGAGAGGAAAAGAAATACTCCTTCTGTGGAAAACTTACAATGTTTCAAATAACTTGATTTAGAAAATGAAGAAGAAATTTCAGCATGAGGTCTAATTCTCCATGTAGGCAGATTTGTATGCCATGCTTCAAACATAGTATTTTTAGTTTAATATAAGTAGGAATGTGTACATGCATGGGTACAACATAGCTACATCGCTAATTTTATCCACATAAAGGGGAAAAAAGCTTCTCAATTCCCTTTCTCATGCCTCAGAAAGCTCCTAAAAATGTGCTTGTACTCAATGTTCCTGTAAAATCCCCAACAACATGCTGAGAAAATACTATCCCCAAATGCTAATTCTTGCAAAAGATGTTTGCATGAGAACAGAGGACATAAAATGGTTCAGCAACCAGCACAGCCTAGTTTTATTTGAAATGCCTTCTTTGCTAATGGAGGAATAAACTGTATTTCTCAGATAATTACCCTCTTGGCTGTGGTGGAACTAGATGGTCTTTAAGGTCCATTCCAACCCAAGCCATTCTGTGATTCTCAACTACCTTTGTGTGTTTCTGAGCACACAATGCACTGTTTGCCCAGAAACAAGCCAGGCATCAAACTGGCAACTTGCTGCCCAGCCCTCTCAGGGCAGTGTCTGCAAGCCAGTGTTTCCTAAAGTTCCCCAAATCCAATGCCCCCTCTCCCAGGGAGACACAAACCCCTCTAGCAGGAGGAGTAGGAAGTTGCTCAGGCTGATGGAGCACTGAGGAACAGTGATCTGCACACCACACGAGAATGACAAAGCTGCTAAAACCTTCTTTGGACTTAGACTTTGGAAGATTTCAGTGGGGATCCATTATATCCCAAAACAGCTCAGGAAGGAAATCAAAAAGACTGGTGGCATATTGGAAATCAGCCATTTCGTACCAGCGAGTGTAGTGTGTTAGGGCACTGTTGATTATCCTGCTGTACAAAAATAAGTCTTTTATCTTTCCAGTTTGGGTTGAACTTGCTAGTTGACTCCAGAAGTCCTTCCATGCTCCCACATGCTACCTGGAATTACTCCCTTGTATTAGCAGTCTGGTGTTTCAGTAATGAGCTGATCTGATGTCCAATATTGGGGCCTGGGGATGGGCTGAGATGTCCATGTACTTCCCTGGCGTAGGAAGACCCTGAAAAAATTAAGTAAGGAAGTCTCAGGTGTGGAGAATTTCCCCATAGAAAAGACAAGACCTCAGAGGCATGGAGTCTTGGGACTTAGTTCCTTTGGTTCCTCACCTTTCTAGTCCACTTTATATAATTAAAAGGCCTGACTATTTCCATGAAATTGTTAGAAGGAAAGTTTTCTACGGGGGAAGTAAACTTGTCCCATACCAATACCTGTGTCCCCACTGCCAAAACTTACTGTGGTTTCTATTTTTCTACAACAAAGCTGGCATTTTTTAAGGCAACGTTATATGGTGCAATTAGATATTAAATACAGCTTGCAAGGTCCTTATTTTAGGTGAGGTTTTCCCTGGTGAACAGCGGTGGAAAAGGCAAGGAGCTCTGACTCTGGAATAACTGCTTCCCAGGCTGCAGAGCCACCCTTTGTGAGAATGCAGTCACACGGCAGCACTTTGTATCTCCTGACAAAAACAGATTCTAATCGTTCATTTCCATGTAAAAAGGCCCGTGCTAAGGGCCTCTTGAGCTCCCGTGTCCCATTTCTGCCTGTGAATCCCCTTTTATGAACTGATCCCCGAAAGCAATCAGTACCTCCAGCTCAGAGGAAATCAGGGAAGTGCCAAGGAGGATCAGGGCTGCACATGATCAGGCACTTGGGTTTGCAGCAGGACTGACACTGCTCTGGCTCCGTGGTGATGAGCTCATGTTACTGAATTTGGGATGACTTTGAAATGCCAAGCTGAAGTCACATTCCTGTTTCTCCTCTATTTTACGGACTTTTCCTGAACTAGTCTGCAACGCAGCAATGCTTGAATTCAAATCCTCCTTCAAAAATAACTCCTGTTATGCCAGCTTGGAGATGGTATCAATGACTAGGATTTTACTGACAATAAAATATACCAATATTTATCAAACACCGGCCACTGATTGATGTTTATATGACACTGATCACAAGATCCTTTCCCCCACCCTACACGGCTCTGATTCTTGCTATTGCAACATATCTAAAATATCTCTTTTTGTTTTTATCAGTGTTGTGAGGCACGGAGGAGAACATGGTATTTGATTAGGTTTCTTGGAAATCTGGACTCTGGTCTCGGCTTGTCTAAGACTTCTTGTAAGATCGTGGTCTCTTAGGGGAGTGATAATGCTCATTTTGAGCAACTTTCTTTCTGTGTCACTGACTTAGATGGTAACAAACAGTCCCAACCTCTCAAAATGTGTATGTGCAAAACGAGGCCACGCTCCTGCTTGAATTCCTGGTGTATTACAAGTTTATACATCACTTAACATCTTCTTGGCACTGTAAAAGCAAATGACATCTATTATTCCTGGTTTTTCTGTTGAAAAAATAAATTTGCTTACCAAATTAATCTGAATGTAGATGTCAGTTAAAGTACATCTGCTTGCAGATAGTCTGTGAAATAGTGGTAACACTGATAAGGGAATATTAATTCAAATGATCACATGCCAGGTATTCCCTATGACTGCTGCAAATCCCACTGTGTGTAGAGAAGTCAAGGTATTTTTTTATTACAATCTGTGATGTTCACTCCTAGCTTTGTGCTCGCAGTTCTGTAGCTGCTGGCTGCTCTGGAGCATGAGCTTTCTTTACAATAATTGCTCTTCCTTCTTTCCAACTATGTCATGACCTTTTATATATTTACAAGGCCGCTGGGAAAATGAGTGTTGAAACCTAAATTCATCATCAGCTGTTTCATCGAAACCCTTGCATAATCCCATAAAAAGACAATTGCAAGATAAATTGCTATTTGCTTTCCAAGGGCCTATTTGAACTCTCACCAAAGCTATGGAATGCCTGTAACCAAAGTGTGATTGGGCCCTCTCACTCTGACCCATTAGTCCCATTCATCTCCCTTTTCCTAAAATGAGAGGACTCTTGGGTGTTGTGGAGCTTGATGTCTGATATGGAAGGGGAGTAAGGAATACTCTGGAACAGTCAAACATTGGCTGTTTCTCCCTCTCCTCCTCCTGCTGGCTGTTTTGCTGATAAATACCAACGTGTCGCCCGTGGTGGTCTCATAAAAGCCATTTTTCCTCCTCTGTTTAACCTCCTACCTTTCTCTGACAATGCCTTTTTGCTTCTAGCAATGTCTTCTGGTGGGGAGGTTGGTAAATGTTGTTTCTGATTGCTCAGCAGGCGCCCTGTTAGAGCAGATTGCCTCCCAGACAGCCAAGTGCTTTACCCTTGAGTGCTTTCCTTGCCTCAGAGTGCCAGGACCATCAGTGGAGCCCTTTGTAGCTCTCCCCTAAATCCCAAATCCCAGGCTGCTCTTAGTTCCTGGAGAATGCTGCTCTGTTGTTTTGGGTTTTTTTCAAGAGAATGATGTTGGGAAATGCTTATTATAATCATTGATTAAGCAGCATAAGAGTTTGGATAGGCCAGAATAGCTTTGAGCTTCTGTGATTCAGCTTGAGCTTTGTGAGCATGGAGGACATTTGTTCTTAGATTGACTTCAGAAGTTGTGCTGAGGCAGCTCATGGATTGTAGGAGACTAACAGGCTCTTCCTTCCATTATCCATGTTATTTTTTCAGATGAGCAACATTAAGAAAATTAAATTCGAACAAGCTTCTCTGAAATGTAACAGTTCTGTTTGGTTTTTTTTTTCCCATTAAGAGTTAACAATTCATTCCAAGAGGTATTGTGGCTCAAAGATTTACATCACAGCAAAATTGCTCCAAGTTTTAGAAACATATTTTAGAGCAACTAGGTAAATGGTGTTCTATTGCTTTGTGACTAATGTTTTGTCAGCTGTGGAACTTCACCCTTTACAAGTGCAGGTTCTGTAAAATAGGATGGTAATGAAAGTCTGGTGATTCAGGGTTGTGTATTATAAGAATATTTCTGAAAGCAGCATAGAGAAAAATGTTAGCAGGTTATCACAAGCCAGAAAATCTCCAGAGATGCTTCAAGGTTAGGTACATCATCAGAATCTTTTTGGCTGAGCTTGTGAGGAGTATCAGAAGACAAAACAGCACTTGGGAAATCTAAAAAAAAAAAAATTGAAAGCATTTCAAAATTTCAAATTTCCAGTGCAAGAAATCGAACACAAATGTTCTCCTTTTTAGCATTTGAAAGAGTTATAAACCTCTTTCTATAAAGGTTGAATGGAAATGAAGTAACACCTGCTGGGTGCTCTGGTGATGCCCAGAATGCAGGGCAGGCACATTCTGGGCTGCCATCCTTGAGGAATGAAACGGGCACGAGTCTTCTAGAGGGACCTGAAGGATTCATTTGAGTTCAAGGAAAGAGGGTTGGGCCAGATCTGAGAACAGAACTCACTTTTTCAGGCTCATAATCTCACATCCTTTCTAAAGACAATCCATCCTGCTGCCAGCTTTAATATGTTTGGGTTTTTTTTTAAACTGTACCAAATCTGTAAGCTAGACCTAAATTAATCAGCTGCCATGGGACATGACTCCACCATGGTGATGGGAAATGCAGCTGAGGGCTCCTTCCCTTGTTCCTGAAAGGAAAATATTGCTCTGTCATAGCAATACATGCAATAGCTTTGTGGGAATTATGGAGGGGAATCCAGAGAGAGTGTACACTGACTCTCACTCTGCTTCCAAAAGATACCAGGAGATCTCTAATGTTCAGAAAAGCATAGGCCAGCAGTGTCCTCTTTGCATGAAGCACAGAGGTCCCATTCATGTGGCACCTACCTTGTTTAGAGCACAGAATTTCTGGGGATTTTCAAGGCAATTTCTGCTTTGCACCCCATTTAATGCTCTTGACTTTCAGTTCAGCTCACAGCTCAGCTTGGATGTAAACTGAAGCAGGTGAGAGAGTCTGCTTTCCAGTTGCTTCTAATGTGCCTATATGGGGTTCTGGGACAGAAGCTGAGAGCTAGAAGAAAATAAAAAGGGCAAAGATGCAGCTATTATACTGGCATAAACAACTGCACAGCTTTGAAGTCAGTGGACCTTTGGTGGTTTACACCAGCTGTGATTTAACAAACCTGGTAGGCCATGAAATCTTTCATAATTAACTTGGACATTGTTAAACGTGTCGGGTGTTTTATGGAGCGGTTTTAACAGTCTGCAAAAAAGAGTATTATGCTATAAACTCAACAGGGAAGCAAGAACAGGTTACAGTACATAAAAAGGGCGAGTTAACACTTTCTAGGGAATGCAGCAACTGACTTTTTGACTTGTAATTTTAACTGTTGCAAGTATTGCAGTCATTTAGTGTTCTGCTGGTAATAGTTTTTTTTTATAACATGGAGGTTAAGTAGGTGGGGAGTGTTGGGGCTCAGTTTCAGCTGCTGGTTCTACACATGAAATGCTCCTGTGAAAAGCAAGTGCTCAGAGCTCTGCTGGTTGCCCCAGTACTGAATTAATCCTTCCATGACGAGTGAAGACTCAGGGTGGAGGTCTCAGGTGCCAGTGGGTGAGGAATTCTGTTCCCCAGCATCTCCTATCCAAGCCATTCTTCCTCACATAGGGTGTTGTATGGAGAACTGTGGGATGTTCCCTGTGACACAGATCCATAGATGCCAGCTGTGTATCAGGACAATCCATCTGGAGTGAAATATGGCCCCAGTGAGTTGTAGCAGTGACCCAGCCACTTCATATCCACACAGACACTCTTTGTGTAGTGGTTTCCAACATCGTGCATTCATCTTTATTCCCCCAGTTCTTGAAGGCATTTGTGATTCTAATGATTTCGACAGGAAACGGACTTTTGTACAAGATTTTCCCCTCCCCTTCCAGTTTCTCTTCGTGCAGCAGCTGCTGTTGCCAGGCTGTCTTTGTTGCTATGGTGGTGGTTTGTGTGCCAGAATTTTTATATTCACTCTTGAAGAGTCACCTGATGGAGTGGCTGTGCCACATAACTTATCAGTCTCCCTCATAAAGATAAAGGCTGTATCTGACTGCTGTTCTGTACATATGACATCTAGTAAATGGATCAGATCAAACATAAACAGATTCCAGTGGCCACTGGCCGAGAGTTTGAGGTATTAACAGCTGAATTCTTTTAGTAAATGAGTGACTTTGAGTTTGGTAGCTTTCATTTCTTTACACAACAGTCACAAAGCAGCTTTGCTACACCTTGTGCCACTTGCCTCACTGGTAAGGTTTGAGTTTTCCTGTCTGGGTGACGTGAAAGGAGCTTTTTATCAGGAGGACTGAGCTTTGATCAGACAGACCGGGTCAAATTTTCTATATTTCCTTGCTGGAGAATTGTTCTGTAGAACTTAATGATCCCGCTCCCACTGATAATTAAAGTATCGTTTGACCCAATTTAAAATGCAATTAGGATGATAAACTCAGCTCCACCAGAAATATATCTTTAACCCCAACTCCTGCAAACACTTGCCACTTATATTTAATTCTTGGTATGTTCAGTCCACCACGTGCAGTGAAGCATTTTCTAGGCTGAGGCCAGTGCTCCTTTTGAAAATCTAGATTTACACCAATAAAATTAGGATAGCAAGTGACACGGAGAAAATTTATATGTATTTTTCTGAAATCAACTTTAAAATACTAAAATGAATTTTTAATGCATTTCTTGTATCACCTCATGATACAATCTTGCAGTGTAGCTTTTGCTGTGTCTTCATTTGACCTGACTTTGATCAATGCTGTCTGTTATTTAAATCAGTTATTGCTCCTTTGCCCTATTTGTTTACACACATTTCCAGATGTGTATCTAAAACATTCTGTGTACTCAGTCCCCTGGAAATGAAATATTGGTACCTAAGGCCATTACATAAAAAATAGTGCTTTATGGATATATTGCATTCAAATAACTTGTATTACTTACACAAGGTAATCATTTTGCTGTGCAGGCTGAGATTTTTTTTTTGAACCTGCAGCAATGAAAACATCCAGAAATAGTTCCTGTGGCAACATAAGGCCAGCAGGTGCCACATCTGAAATGTACAATTTGGAATAACTATCTGAATTAGCCCATTGAGATTTTTTTTTTCTAACAGCAGGTCTTTGTTTCACTGTTGGAGCTGAAAGGGGCTGAGTCAAGAAGTAGAAAATGCACATAATATGTTAGATGTTTGCTGAGGCTTATGGCACACTTGGAGGAAGGTGCCTGCTTCTTTTTTTTGCCAGACTTGGTCCAATCATCTGATGATAAGACCTTTGTACTCTTTCTGGGTGTAACAATCCTGCTGAGTGAAGCTGGTTTCCAGGTCACCAATCCCAGGCTTCGTGGAAAAGGAAGCTCAGATTTAGACACGCTGAATTTTTGTGTTTGCAATACATACTATGTACCAAGAAATGTGCTCCTAGCTGGAGCAGATGCTACTGAAGCACTAGCAAGAACACGGAAGCCAGCTAGCTGGGTTGAAATTCAAATTCCCACTGATTTCAGCACAGGCTGAATCATAAGCACTTTGCAGAGCTGTTGTTTAAAAGGCAGAGTCATAGTGCCATTTCCTATTGTGCTGCTTCTTCCTTTTGATGCAAAATCCATTAGATACCTGCCATATAAAAGGCATGTTTCTCTTCAGCCAGATGCCATCAGATGAGAATACTCAAGGCTGAAAAGCCTCCAAATTGCTGCAGACAATCCTTCCTATCTGTCACGCCAGACACTGCTACCAGAGCCTGTCCTGATCTATAGGCCCAGCTCTTCGGTGTTCAGATCAGTGACTGCCAGGATTCATCAGGAATCCTGAGGGTATCATCAAAAACTGACATTGTTTTTCCCTAACAAAGGTTGTAAATGAGGCCAGGCCAAGTGAAAGTGGATTATGGACCTGTTGAGAACTGCCACAGAGTTGGCACCACCCATGGCACGTTTACGTCTTCCCAAGGTCTGATTTTGGTGGACTGCTGCGAATGCAAGTGCTGAAGGGATCATGGATAAGCACTGTAGCATCTGTGCTCTTTGCTTTTGTCTTCTGAGCATTTTAATATTTTTTTGTTATTCTTTTGTACACTATATGCTGAGATGAGAAGCCAGTTGTGAAAATGATCCTGGAAATCTCTCTCCCTCACCCCGTCACTGAGCAACTCCAAAATCAGTGCGGCCAAACTCAGAATTTGTTATTGTTCCTTTAAGTCGTGGCAAATGAATGGAAGTGAAAGCACAGCACCACAGAGCTGGCTTTCCTCCTGATTGATGCAACACCCACATTTACACAAGGTTAATAAGAATAAAAAAAAGAGATCAAGTGGGTTAATTGGCCTTGGAATGTGTATGCTGCAGATTCATCTCCCACTGAAGGCAATGAGAAGCTTTTCATTGAGGGGGAGAATTTGCAAGAGGCACAGAGGAAAAGCTTTAACAACTCTGTTAAAGAGCAGATCAGGAGACCAATATGCCAGTTTTGTCGCTTTTTCATTAAAAAAAACCCAAGCAAACATCTTCCAACTTAGATTGTAGATATTTTTACCTAGAGCTGTTTTGAAATACCATTCCTCCAAACTAAACAACTTTTTTCTTCAGAGACCTTCTTTCTACATGGTTGGCTTTGTCTGTAGGAGAAGCTTGGCCTGCTGCCCTGAAATCCTAAGGGTCAATTGGAAGCCTTGACAGAGAAATTAGAAATCTCATGTGCTGTGTCATCTGATGCTTTATCACTGCTGTGACTGCACAGGGCCACAACCAGAGAGAAGGTCATTGGTGGAGCACATCTGACTTTGTTCTTCAAAAACCTTTCTTTTAAGCTTCTGGATTTAGGATTTTTCTGGGCAAGAGGATGTTTTGCCATCTTTATGCCTTTTGAACTGAGTATTCCTAAAACTGAATTAAAGTCATGTGCCTTTGTTCTGAGGAAGCCCCTTCATCCTACGAAAGCAAAAAGCTTTGGTGAAGCAGTTTCTGTGTATTTAAAGCATAGAGCCTTTTTGGGAGTTGTTTGTGCTGCTCTCTTTAAGAGTCTTGGCATCACTGTGCAGGCCCAGCGCTGCCCTTCTGCTCTGCTTTTGCCGTAACTATTCCCTCAAAGCTAAAACTAAACTAAAACACAAGAAGTTCCACCTCAACATGAGGAAGAACTTCATGTTGAGAGTCGCAGAGCACTGGAACAGCTGCCCAGGGCGGGTGTGGAATCTCCCTCTCTGGAGATGTTCCAAACCCACCTGAGCAAGTTCCTGTGTCACTTGCTGCAGGTGACCCTGCCTGGGTAGGGAGGTTGAACTGGATGATCTCCAGAGGTCCCTTCCAGCCCAAACTACTCTAGGATTCTGTGATTCTGTGACGTTGCACTCGGTCCCCCTGCACTCACCCTTTTTGCATCCACGTCTCTCAGCAGGACAGGACACACGGCCGCTCACCCTCGCTCCCTTCTCGGGCCTTTCGCGGGGGTGCCGCAGCCCCGCGGAGGGGAGATACGGATCTGGCATTCCCAGCGCCTGCCTGCCGTCCTTCTGCCCTCCTGGGAGAGCCGGGAGTGCTGCCCGGGCCCGACCCCGCTCGGGGGGTCGGGCGGTCTGTGCGCTCGGGCGGTGCCGGTGCCGGGAGGTGGCGCCGCGGTGCCGCCGGCGCTGCCCTGGGCGCGGGGGAACCTCGGGGGCCGAGCCTGGCGGGGCGGGAGGAGGAGGAGGAGGAGCGGCACGGAGGGAGGGAGGGAGCGGAGCGGGCAGCGCGGCGGCTCCGTGCCCTGCGTGCGTGCGCGTGTGTGCGAGGAGCGGGCGGGCGGGCGGTATAGACAGGATATATAGAGGATGTGCCGCCGCATGGCTCGCCCCGGCCGCCGCCGCCGCGCCAGCTCCTTGGGCGAGCGCCAGTGAAGCGTCGTCTCGCCCTCGCCGGCCGGGCAGCGCCTCCCTGCCCGCTCCAGGCGCTCCCTGCCGGCCTCGCTCCCGGGTTTCCGGCGTCCCTCCCGAAGCGGCCGCGCCGCGGGCGAGCGGCGCGTCCATGCGGGGCCGATGGCCGGGGCTCAGCCTGGGGTGCACGCCCTGCAGCTCAAACCCGTCTGCGTCTCCGACACCCTCAAGAAAGGCGTCAAATTCGTCAAATGGGACGATGTGAGTACCACCCCCCTCCCTTACCCCGCTTCCCCCGGCAGGGGCACGGCTGTAATCCATCCGTAATGGGGCTCCGGGTGCACGTGTTGCGGCCCCCCGGCCCTGCCCGCTGCGGGAGGGCAGGTGCGGGACCCCGGGGACGGGCGATGGGTGTCCCCGTCCGGGACCGGCGGCCGAAGGCCGGGCAAACTTTCTCCGAAGGCTCCCCGGTCTGCGTTCGCTTGGCCGGTGCGAGCCGTGTTGTGCTGCCTCCTTTAGCGAGCGCCTGCCTCTCCCGCCTCCCGTGTTTCAGTGTGCATGTTGCCACCTCTGTCCTCGTAACATAGTTGTTTCAACCTGTTCTTTCATCTCCCGTCTCCTTCTCCCAGCTCCTCTTCTTTCCGGCTCCTGTCCTCGTCTCTCTCTGGTGGGATTATCAAGCCCTTGGATGCATTCTCCCAGGGCTCACAGCTTTGGTACCCTCGTTCATCTTCCTCTCTCCTTTCTTGCCTCAAAATCATCTGCTTTACCTTTAGCACTTGCTGCTTCCCAAGCCTTTACACTTGCATTGCCTCACATAGGGAAGGAGTGTGGTTTCCACTTCACCTTCGGTAGCACAGCTGTTCAGCAGCTGGAATTTCCTTCTTCGCGTGCCGAATGTGTCCGGGACAGTTTCAGAGAAAGGGAACTTTTCTTTATTTAGTTTTCCGTTCCCCAAAGCCCGTTGTGTCCTCTGCTAGCCTTGCTCCTGCCGTACAGCATCGGGTGTTCGTGTCTCAGCTGTGCACGGAGGAGCAGGTGCCCCAAAAGGTCTGTCTGGAGACACAGGGGCAACGTGAGACTCGAGCTGTGGTAGAGGAATGGTTGGGAAGGAAGGCAGGCGCTCTGAACATCAGAATTGTTGAGGATGACTCGTTTTGAGTGCTCTTATATTTTTACTGGGACTTTGAGTGTGCTGACATCCACAGCAACAACTGGAGGGCCACAGAGAGTGAGAAGGAGCAGTTCATGTGTAACCACTGTTCTTGTTACATATTGCTATTTTGCCATTGCTTTCCAGCAATGGCAAATGTGTAAGCCTGACCCCTATAAACCTGTGATAAAACGCTCTCAAGGAGAGAAAGAGAGAGAGAACATAAGAAGCCGAACTTGCTGTGTGAAATTTTATTTACAGTAATAAGCAAACACAGCTTTAATAGGCTCGGCAAACTGACCTTGTCCACGGTAGTAAACATTGGCTTGATACAGGTTATTTATGTTCAGGAACTAAGCCTGAATGACTTGCCTGGGAAAATGTTTTCTTGCGGTTGACATTTTCCTCAGGATAGGAAAAGGCAGCGCAACCTCAGCCTTGTCACTGCAGTTATTGTTTTATTTTTGGTAAGCTACCAAGAAACTTCCACAGGTCTATGCGGAGGTCAAGTGATTGAAATCTCCAGACTGACAGTCCAAGCTATCAGGCAGCAGTTTAAATTACTAGTTTAAGTGCTGTTTCTATGTATTGTACCCGTAGAATCAGGAGGAGAAGAGGTGTTCTCCATGCACAGTGGATGTTCAGTGACTAACCTGTCTGCTATGGACTAATAGCAGAAAAAAGATTAAAACCTGCAAACCTAAAGGCTACAGTAATAAAATAGAGCTAAACTCTAGCAAAAGATGTGCATTTCAGGCTAAAGGTGTTACTCAGGGATACACAGGTGTCACCTGGAATGTGTGACTGAGGTGAGAGTCCTGTTGTGTTCAGTGAGTGCTTTTGCTGGCAATCTTGTGAAAGTTGATGCGTATTTAGCTACACTCTTATGAAGAATTCTGGCATTAACTCGTGGTTGTCTGTGCATTGTGTGTATATCTGCACATTTCTTGTCCCTCAGCCTCCCTGTCTTGCCCACAGTGTTTCTTCTCAGCAGTGGAAGCCCCACAAAATCCAAGATTTCAAGGAAAGTGTGTCCCTTTGCTACGCTGGCCGTAAAAAAGATCTTCACGCAAATTCACGTTAGATGACTTTGCAAAGTATTTGCTATTGAGCAGCCAGTAACCAACTTCAGAGCCTTTGTTTTCCAGGAAATTTTTCTGCTTGAGGGTTTTAAAAAATGGTTATTAATGTGACCCTCTGTGGTGTGTCATGTAAACGGGCACGCACAACCTCCCCAGTGAAACAATGGGCTCTAACGAGGAATAGTAAACTGCAGCATGGAACAGTAAAACAGGATTGACCATAACGAGTATTTGGGCTCTGCTGTGCTCCCAGGGTTGCTCAGAAAAGCCAGGCTCACATGCTGATGTTTGTTATGCAGTTTTCCTTTCACTGGGGGAGTGAGAGCAGGAGCTGAGCTCTTCCATGTGCACTGGGGCAACATTTGTTCCTCTCTGAAGCACGTCCTTGTCGTTCCCTTCCCTGCTGCTTTGGGTTGCAGTTTAAAGATGGTCCTATTGACTTGCCTTTGTGTTTCGTGAAGCCAAAGTGTTGTTTGTGAATTCTTATGACTTGCACCAACTTTCAGCCCAAAGCAAAATTTTTCCGGCTGAGTTCTAAACCACTGGAAAGCAGCGACCTTTTTAAATGGGAATGCTGGGAGGATTTAAAGCAGAGCATGAGAGGCGTGTAAGGAATTTCATGGTGTCTGGAGTGATGGTTGTTAAAGACTGTACTTGCCAGCTTTGAGAAGGATGCTGTGCTGTGCAGAACAGGGACAAAAGCTGGAGCGACAGAGACTTTAAAACCAGCCCCCACATTGGTATCCCACCCTGAGCCTCCGTGCCCGATCAGGAACTCTGAGGCACTAATAGATGTGGTACTGATGGTTTGCATGGACTCCCTCTCTGAGGAACAGCAGTGGAGTTTGCTGCATGTCACACATGAACCTCAGCACTGTGATGGTGATCCAGCTGGAGAGAGAAATGCCTGGCCTGAGCTTTGCTGAGAGGAGAGAGGGAGGTTATGTCAGCCCCTCAAGATCACATACAGGCAGGTGGAAAGCTTAAAATTCCATTTCCCTTGCAGACCACCTTCAGTTGTACGAGCAATAGGATCAATTAAAAATTTCTGGCTTTGCAAAACAAGTCCCTCTTTTGTGCCTCAGGATTGGATGTGGTAATGCTCACACCACCCAATGCCTAACACACTCTAATACACAAATTCCATTTGGGATCAGGGTATAAAGCACTAAAGTCAAACAGATTATTGTTGTCCGGTAACTTTGCCTTTCCTCACACTGTTGCTGTTTTATTCTGTAACAGTATTACAGGTTGGAAAACATATTTTAGAAAGAACTCTTGCTCTTGACATGGAGTTTGGCTTCCCAAGGCACTGGGCAGGAATAGCTGATGTTGGAACAGGTGAAAGATGAATGTGGCTGGTTTCTTAGGCGGTTTTTTGTGGATGTATCCACCTGTGTGCCTGGTTCCAGATGGTTAGTTGGCTGAGCACTCGCTTCTCCAGATCATATTTCTTCAGTTGGACCTCTACAGCTGCTTCTCCCTTAGTGTGGGAAGAGACTGAGCCCTTAACTCCTGCTCTGGCTTTGAACAGATGTGCTCATGTTCCTGGAGAGAGGGAAGGCTTCAGGAAGAACTGACCTGCTTCCCTTTGCTGTAGTGATACCCAGGTTGTAATAGCTCTTCCTGATGAGAGTTTTTACAGCAGTTTAATAAATAAATTAAAAGGTGGCAATTAAGCCCATGGGTGAAGCTTTTTGGGTAGGGGGTTAAGCTTAATGTAGCAGAATGTGTTGATAGTGGAGAGGAGTGATGAATCCTGAGTATAAAGAGTGACTTTACTCAGGACTGATCTGACTTCTGAAGGGCTGAAACCTGCCTTGGCTGACTTCTCTCCCTGTTTTTCTCTGACCTGTGGTGGGAACAAGGTGGGCATAACAGAGTGAACAAACATCTCAACAGCCAGAGCAGAACTGATATTTTCTAAGAGCAGCAGTTGGCCCACTGTAGCAAGTGAACGTGATGGGGCATATTCAGAAATAGATTTGTTTTCATTTCCTGCTTAAAGGCTCCCTTATCTTCCCCAGTGATAATGTGTACTCTGCATAAACACTTTGCCGGCTCTCTGGGTGGCTCACACTATCACTTGCGAGTTAAGTGTACTGGGGAAGGAATGTAACTACCCAAATTGAGGGCCATCACTCCAATTTTCTAGCCGTACATTTTTTTTCCCCCAAACTTTGGATTACTGAAGGATAGGTAGGATTGCTTAGTGGCTGCAGCACTTGCTCAGTGAGCAGCAAAAACAAACCTGGGTCTTTTAAGTTCTCTTTTAATGCCTTTCTCTTGGAGCACTTTATCTTAACAAAGCATTTTTGAGCTCAAATGGTGAATGTTATGTTTGCAGCCTTCTTTATTTGTTTAAAGTCTTCGAGAAGATTACCAGGAGCATGAGATACATCCCCTTTTAACCTTAGAAGTAAACGTAACAT